GAGTAAGCCACACAAGCGAGTAAGCCACACAAGCGAGTAAGCCACACAAGCGAGTAAGCCACACAAGCGAGTAAGCCACACAAGCGAGTAAGCCACACAAGCGAGTAAGCCACTTGATTTCCTATATAAAATCGACTTTTTTAAAAATTCATAATTTTACGCGTAAAAATCGTAAAAGTCTCGAACTTTTTTTATTAATTATATAATTATAAATTTTAACTAAAAATAAAATTTAAAAAAATTAATTTCAAGAAACGTAAAAAAAAAAAACGCGTAAAAACTAAAATTAAAATAAAACGTATAAACCTTTTTACGTTTTTCTTTATATATTTTATTCTTTATTTTTTTTTATTTTACTTTTAATTAAACTTTATAATTATATAATTAAAAAAGAGGTTCGAGACTTTTACGATTTTTACGTATAAAGTTATAAATTTTTAAAAAAGTCGACTTTATATAAGAAATTAAGTGGCTTACTCACTTATAAGATATATTAAGGTAAATAATTATCTTGTTTTATCTTTTTATTATAAGAATATACTAGTTATACTTAGTTTACTTTCTCGATATAATAATTATATTTTTTTTCCTTTTTAACTTAATATCTATATATTATATAATAAAAGTTTAATTATTATTAAAAGGTATATAAATTACACATTAAAACTTAAACAAGGTTTTATTATGCACTTTATAATTCTATTTTATATATATACACGAGTATTAATATCACGGACTATAATAAGACACAGGGCGCGAGGGCTCGAGAGATCTCTATATTACAATGAGAAAGATTTACGTGAGGAAAGAAATAATCCTCGCGCTACTAGCAAGCTACATACATTTCTTAAGTACTGAATTAAGCCATGGCAACGACGGCGTGCACAGCAACGTAGTCTGAATAGCTTCACCACAGTAACGGCTGTGACAATTAACCCATATCGGCGATAGTACTTTTTAAGGAGAATGACGTTATATCTTTTTATTATATATGAACGTCAAACTGATTGATCCTGATACCTTAAGGGTTCTGTATACTGAATGATGATCTGCCGTCGTGAGGAAGAACATCCATCTGTCCTTGCCTCGAACTATTTCGTCATATAGTCCTCCACATACTAAACTAGGACCCCCCGCCCGCCAGTGAGAATACGATCACCATTCTTCGAGTCGTGTACTCCACGCAATGCTTTGAATTTGCTCTGAATCCATTCACCACTCGTCACATAAACCTCATCCTTCTGGGGCGCTGGGATGAGTGGACTTTCAAGAACACAAAGTGGTGTGGAGTCTTCAGGGCGCATGAGATAGGCAAAACTGTACCGTTCAGGCATGGGGTGTCCAGGGAGGGGGCCGACCCGGTGCAACACACTTTTGAGCAACCCATTGGTCATCTTTGTCATGCAGTCGCCGATATTCACGATGGCGTATCCCTCAATAGGTAAAACATATCGCCAATCGGCCTCTGTGGGTGGGGTTCCAATCGGGCTCTGGACATTCACTGGTAAGACTTGAAGCCCAGGCGTGGATGTGAATAAAAATGTGAGGCTGCCTAGGTCGGTGTGAGGGGTTTGGGGAACATTGCCTATGCGCCCATCGGCATGATACTTCAGCAGCCGTAGAATGTCCGAGGCAGGATTTGATGGGTTATGGAAGTCCTCAAACCGCTGGCCAGGCTGTAGGCTGAGAGAGGCAGAGAGAGATCTGAATATTGTCTGCGCAGCGGACCCGAGTTCAGTGATGAAACTCTTCAAAGAGTTCATGCCAATTGCCACCACAGGAGGATGTGGAAATGAATCGTTGCCTAATTGGAAGAGGCCATTACGAGGTAACTTGACAGCAGTCAATATCATGAGAAGACAAGTTAGATCCAACTGCACTTACCACCCAACTTTCAAACCCATCTCTAGTCCCGTCTTTGCTGACAATATTTCTCCCCCTTGGCTTGTAGCCATTGGTCTTGTTGTGCGATATCTTGTCCACGTCGAACAAATCTTTCACTGCAGGATCTTGTTCAAATATTTCTTCAGAAAGTCGAAAGATCCTCTCGGCATACTTCTGTACGGGCCGCTCAGGAGTATCAACGAGTTTGAGATAGAAGAAGCCATCCTCTATACTAGCCTGGAGAAGGGATGCGTGCTCAGAAGCTGATCCAGACTCAAGCTCATGCAGGTCGATGACTCTGAGACTAGCTTGCTTCGATGCCTCGGGCAGCTGATCAAGAGGAACAGAAGATGACATTTCGAGATATCGAAGTATCCAAATACCGGTATAGACAAACAAGGATGTGAAGGTTTAGAGGAGGCCGTTCATTTCGTGAGGCTAAGGAGAGACAACAAAAATATCTTGTAATACTGTCAAGCTGGGTAGAAAAGGTCAGGGCTAAATAAGTCTTCGAAAACGATCATCCCCTGGTATATATTGTACCCAAATTATGCAAAAAGACGCATCTATAAGCTAACTCCCAAACGTGATTCCATGGCCCCGATATGCACTTTTACTAACAGCAATAACAGCTTGCTAAACTCCATAATACGATGATACAGGTACTTAGGTACAGTATCGAAAGTACATATAAATAATTACGATGGTGTAACATATTCTTAATGGTTATATCAATACATTTAATATTGCATTTGTACTGATAGCTAATTAAATAATGATACATGTGCGGAATTAAAGTCTAGAAGTTGCAACACCTACTTTACCATCTAAGACACCACCGAAGTGATGGATACGAAAACTAGATGTCTGCATCTTACTAAGTAAGCTACGGTGTAAGTGACAAGCATATCCGGTTGGTTGGGTATATTACACCTCGCTGCAGTGCTACAGTCGAGACACAACGCTAGCATCCAATCCAATCCCACAAGTCTGACTTTGGACTCACCGAACTTCTTAGTTCAGGCATTTGGAACGTCGTGATCAATCTGACTGGCGTAACATGGGGCCACATGGCGTAGTTGGTTAGCATTTGGCAGTGCATTTGCTTGGGATGCAAATGTAAGTGGGTTCGAATCCCGCTGTGGGTTCGAATCCCGCTGTGGGTTTGAATTCCCGCTGTGGGTTCGAATCCCGCTGTGGTTTTAAACTGTACATGACCCCTTGGTCGGCTTAGGTTTTTCCCGGGTATTTATCGGTAATGATAATACCGAACTGTACTTCGCTTATTAGTGGGGCTGTCACGGCAGTGACTAGCCAACCACACTAATCACCCCGCTCCCAAAAGGGTAACAGAATATCAAGTTCCCTAACTTGATACCAGGTAGGTTGGACTATATGCCATGTGACGACCCTCAGCCGTCACAGGGGCGAGGTTTTTTTCTAACATAAGTTAACCGAAGCGGTATTACTAGTTAACGCCGACACTAATTAATTAATATACCACCCGATATTAAGTAATGTTTAAGCAAGAAGCGGAGGATCTCTTATGTCAAGCGATATACTAGCTCTGTTTCGGTACTTTAGTCGTCTTATGCGCCATTGCTGCGCGTCAAAAACGGGACTATGTACTTAGTAGATAGTCACGTCCTTCGGACGTTAACAATATCATCATAGCGTAACGTGGCACAACATAAAGTGAGACATACATGTCAGCAGTCTAGACGCTTAATCGTTATGGTATAACAATGTAGACCATAGGTAAAGGTATCGACAATGTTATTACGCGTAGGCCTCGAGCTACAGGTATAAAGAGAGCGGTTTATGTTCACATAAAATATCCCCTTTGTTCTCATGGCCTTTGTACTAGTGTTCAGCCTTGCCGGTGCTAAGGCCGATGCTAAGGCTCTTGACACATGAATCCAAATTTAATTCTAGTCCCTTTTCGCCAGCCTCAAAAGAAGACGCCGATCTCCATGCTGATGTGTAGAGTTGATTCACACGTAAGTGGTTTACCAACCAGCGGCGAATATCTCCCAGCCACGCACTTCTTTTTCCACATAGTTCATGTCTGTGCAACCACATTATCCTTTAAATCCCTCTCATATGATCCTTGGAGGGGTTGAAAGAGGCGGTGTGGCTAGGATTGCGTTATTTCTAAATGGGGCTGATGAGTGAAAGAGAGATGAATCCTTGAAAGCCCGATCTGATGCGAGACATGGTGGATGCCTCATGGCTGCTGCAAATCAAGAAGTAGATTTCTATGCAGGTGACAACTTTGAAAGGCTTCATCTGTTAGAACATGTTGGAAAACTAGTAACCTAAAGAAAACCATCATGAGCTGTCATTTAAAAGTAGTTATAAAAATAGCCAACGTTAATACAAAATGACAGTTCGTATAATAGTCACGATGATTTGGGTTCATTAGAATACTATGAGAGGAGATCATATCAGTGAAGTCTATGCTGGGCTCTTAAGATCATAATACAACTTAATGCCAGAGTGGTATGATATCATAGTAACAACGAAGCATAAATGGATATAGATTAATGTCACGGGCCTAAGAGCGACTACTGGATATTCAAGGCTCAATGACGCCCCAAGGGCGCTGGGGGAGCTCGCTGGCGATTATTCTGGTTCTACATTGGCCCCTACACTCCCATCTTCTCAAGTCTGTTTTGCACCTTCTCAATCACTTGACAATTATTAACAGGAGCTTCAGATCCTTCATTTCTCTATGATTGTGACTTAGACGCGAAGCCGACTCTCAATGATTACATGGTTGCTCCCTTCAGCCTTCCAGACCTTAGTCAGTGCAAGTCCGGCTTTACTTAGTAGAGAAAGCCATTGCTCCTCCGTGCGTTCTATGCCGCCAAGGACCATCATATTGAGGTCTTGTACGGCCATAGACCAGGGAGCATCGGCCAGCGGCATAGAGATATCAGCGATGAGTACACGACTCTCAGGTCCCATGGCTGCCACGGTGCTGGACAAGATCTTAACGGCAATGGGGTCAGACCAGTCATGGAAAATGCGGCGGTAGTAATATGCGCGGGCATTCCGAACCGGATTGGGCTCGAAGAATGATGCGGCCTGAGGCTCGATATAGTCAGGCAAACCTTGAGAAATAGCCTCTTGGATAACGGTCTCCTGATCCTGCAACACCAACCGGCCACGAAGTCCAGGGAATGCCTGCTTGATCTCGATCAGGGCATGGCCACGTCCACCTCCGATATCCACAAGTGTGACCTCATCGTCTTTGAGACCACAATTGAGCTCTTCGTCGAATTTGTAAAGGGTGGCAACATTGATAGCATTGGGTCGACTTTGCATGCCGCTATTAAAAAGGGCCTGGCGCGTCGGATCAGCCGATAGCCACTCCCAAAATCCCCCCTGTGAGATACCTAGCCCAATATTGATGGCAGATTTCTCGTAACCTTCGGGATTCTTCCACCCGGTCTCCTTTAAGAATGTGGGAAGCACGTAGGCCCCCTTGCCGACGAAGTCGTACATCTGCTGGAACATGTCCCGGTTGTTCTGACCAGAGAAAGCTCTTGACAACCTGTTATTCTGATACAAGCGCTGGCCAGCCTCTTCGAAGACGCCGCAGCCAACAAGAGTTCTCATGAGACGCTCTACCAGCGCCGATTCAGCTCCTGAAGATGCAGCGAGCTCGTCTGCACTCTTTGGGCTGCTGCCTTGCGTCATGAGCTGGAAGATGCCCAGTTCGATGGCGCAGCGGATAGCTGAGTTTTGGGCTGTCCTTGTCGCAAGGTAGTAGACGTTCTCTGCAGGATCGCGCGCGCTGACGCCCAGGTTCTCGACAATGCCAGCAAAAGTTCTACTTGCATCTGGAGTAGCGAAGCCCCTGTTTGGCGTGTAGGTCGCTGCGGTAAGTCTACTGAGTTCAGCGACTAGAGACAGCAGGTCCTCGGATTTCGTATTGGCAATCATTTCTCTGACTCTATTTGAAGTTTAATCGAATCGATGAGCATAAATGTAATGAACATTGAAAAACAAGCAGAAGTTACTAGTCGTATTTTGAACGTATTGTTCAGTTTTAACTCATGTACGACTTAAAGGCTCTTATTTAATCATTAGGGTTGCTGTATCGGGTAGGGAACTTGTTCTCCCTACATCTGCAATGCTGACATAAACAGGAATTCCTGTGACACGCAACCCTACACAAAATGTATGCAGTCTACACTGCCTTTTTGATCAGCTGATAATTATCTTACTCAGTTTCCCTGCCCCTTGCTATTACTATTAATCTGCATTAATGGAGTCATCAACTGCATCTTTCGAGTACTCGATCGGAGATAACCCTAATGCAATAACACTCCCATCCCAGCATGTTTTAATGCTGATCCAAGTACTTATCCCCCTATTGGGGCTTCCGTATTCATACATATGCAAGCCTTAACCACCTCGTAACATCGTCGTGGAGCACGGCATCTAGCGTGGTTAAAAATCATCCAGCTGATATCAGCACTCAGTGGAAATCACCTCCTGTCGTACAGGCAAATCGCAATATTATTCTCAATGCGCGTTATAATTCCCTTCTCCGTCTACGACAGTTTTTACTAAGAAAATTGTAATGAGCTTGTCGATTATTGTTTTATGAGTAGATTGTACAAACCTTTCCCAGAGATCCACGAAGCTGATAACTTACAGCAGTAAGACTGGTAACTTCACGATGGCTGGCGAGACTCTTCTTGGCTCTCGACCCGAAAACATCGTCCAGTTGAAGGTCCTAATTGTTGGAGGTGGCCTCTTCGGTCTTGCGGCAGCTATCTCAGTAGCCTTGGCTAGCCATCAAGTCACTATCTTCGAAGCACACTCGGGACCCCATGAAATCGGTGCCGGCTTACAAAGCTCGCCCAACGGCACAAGGCTTTGGGCCAAATGGGGTCTATCAAACATTCTCGAGCCTCTGGTGGCGGCACCGACAGCCCTTCAGATACGTGATTATGATGGAACACTTCTTGCTCAGAGGCAGGACTACGATGTCGAAATCAACCGGCGCTACGGCCATCCCTTGTGGACCATGCACCGGAGGGATCTCCAGACTAGTCTCGTTCATCGAGCACGCGAGCTCGGTGTTGAGATCCTCTACTCCACCCGCGTCAATGAGGTTGATATATCAAAGCCCGCAGTCAACACTCAGAAGGGGACACACAAAGGAGACATCGTGATCGTTGCTGGGGGCGTTTGGTCCTCCCTCAGATCACATGTAATTGGCAAACGAGTGGACCCTGAGCCAACGGGTGACATGGCCTATCGCATTACTGTTGACTACGATCAGTTAAGCGGAGAGAAGGATCTGCAAACATGGATGCACGAGCCCATGATCCGCATCTGGATCGGCCCGCGTTCTCATGCTGTGGCTTATCCAGTTCGTGGTACTAGACAGCTCAACATTGTTCTACTTGTCCAAGATGACATCAGAGAGGGCCAGGATTCGAAGATGGCAGCTGAACTGCCCGAGATGAGAAAACATTTCGAGGGATGGGATCCGATGTGAGTCTCATCCACCAGCGTTCCACTATCCAAGAACTTGTGGCCCAGGCTCATTAGTGTCGCAGATTGAACAAGATATTAGGAACCGTTGAGCGTGTCCACAAATGGAGACTTATGCAATGTATATACTGTATACTATAGGCGAGAGAGTAGAAGCTAATATGACTGTAGTGCCGCCACTTGGGACATGGCGCTCCCCTCAAGGTACAACAGTTATGGGGGGCGACTGCTGCCATGCCATTCTTCCCTACATGGCCCAAGGCCTCAATCTAGGCCTAGAGGATGCCGCTATCCTTGGATACCTGCTGGGTCGAGTTACATGCAAGGACCAGATTCCGAAGGCTACGGCAATGTATGAAGATTTAAGGATAGTGCGGACAGCTCGTATGCTAGACGAGACACGTAAGCATGCGGAATACTTTCACACATCAGATGAGAGACTTCGAACAGTTCGAGCTGCGGAATTGAGCCGTAGCTTTCACTCTGATTCAGACTGGTAAGCAGGTTGAGTAACACTGTAACATTTTTGAGTGGTCATCTTTAACAAATGCGGAACGTGCAGGACACACCCCAAAGAGCAACGCTGGATTTGGTCGTATGATGCTTACGAAGAGGCTGAGAAGGCTTACAC